TTTTATATCTGTCCTTGGCACTCTGAGTAGCTTTCTCCATGTCCATATTTCAAAGGCATCAATTCTTTTTTTCTTTTTCAGCACTCACATCTATAAGTGAACACGGGGAATACCAATGCCTCTACAATTCTCTTCTTCATCTTGAATGAAATTCCTTTCTCAACAATTTGAGGACACTCTCCGAGTGTATACTCTTCCCCGGCAGACACCACCAAAAGTCTCAAGCTTTACAAGCTTGATACCTTGTTGTTGTTGTTTCTTATCCTCTTATGTAAAGATTACACGAATTCCATGAGTTCATGCTCCTCGAGCTGTTTTATGATGAGCAGCGGCCTCTCCCAAAGGTCCTGTTTAGTGCATCTAATTCAAGCCAAAATGTGTTCTGGAGCTGCAGGTACCAAACTACATTTTGGGCAAGTGGGATAAATTTTGTTATTATTTTCTATCTTCAATGGCTTGAGATGGCCTGTTCTAAATCTTGTTAGTGTTGTTTGATGCTGTCTATGTGATTGAGTGATATGTTGATTGAGTGGAGATAAGAAAGAAGAAGAAGAAGAAGAGGACACTCTCTTGTCCTTATGAGGAAAAATTACTTCCAAAAGGCAGAAGAGCCAAATTTATTTGGCCAACAGCAGAGACAGAAGAAGGCATTATCAAACCACTTTTGTATCAAGTACTATTGAGGAAAAGCTATTCGAACAACAACAATAGCCTTTCTCTTTATATAATTAAGATTATCTAATATAATTAACATCAATTAATGACCTTCCCAAAAAGGCAACACGCACAAGGATAAATTAAAAAAAAAAAAAAAGAATATGCAGATAAGATGATGACGTGCAACAAAAGTTGCATAACATTTTAATTGCAGGACCTTGGACATGTCTTAAATATGAATGGCAGAAGTCTGACAGCTGGCCAAGATAAAGGCAAAGTGCCTGCCTTGCCTTCAGATGTTTCTCTAGACTGGACCAGACAAGCCTAGAGCATAAACAACTCTTAGATGATAAAAGGTATAAATTTCGATTATAAATTAGAAGCTTAAGGTTTTGTAAGGATACAAAGTTTTTGTCTGATAATGGTGTGATAATGCTGTTACCATTTGGTAACGCAATTCATTAATTCAATGCAAAAGATGTGAAAAATCCTATATATATATATATATATATATTTTTTTTTTTTTTTTACTTATCATTACAATCTTATATATGAATTAAATAAACAGGTTTCTGTAGAAAAGAAACTCTTATCTAGAAAACTGCTTTCTTTATTTAATTCATCAATTTCAGTAAGAAGAAGAAAAAATAAAAAGGAATCCCAAGATAGAAATCAAAAAAGGGTATTTGTAAAACGATGTTTGATGAGAAATAACAACTATTTCTATCTTTGGGGATGAAGTATGAAAGGATGAATTGTGAAGAATAATGATAAACGGAAAAATAAAAGTGTCCAGGGATGGGAATCGAACCCACAATGTTCCGCTTACCGGGCAGATGCCATGTCCACTAGGCTACCCTGGGGACATATTTTTTCCGTATGTAAATATTATATAAAGTTGAATTATAATACAATATAATGAAGTTTATGATTGTAAAACAACGTTTGACAAGTTTTACCGCAAGTGTTTCTTTTGAACGGAAAATAGCAATTTATTTCAAGGAGAAATAACGACTATTTCTATCCTTAGGGATGAAGTATGGAAGGATGAATTGTGAAGAGTAATGATTTTTAAAAAATCAACGTTTAGTTGATATTTATTCTGACAGATGGTGCAAGCCATCAGCAACTTTTAGTTGCATAATCAGGAGATGCCTTTTTATTAATTTATTTACCTGATTCAAGTACAATTTAACTCCGCCTTTGCCGGTCCCAAGCCCGGATGAAAAAGGAGGAGGGGGAGCAGTAACAAGCTCACTAAAAAACCTGGTCTCAACTGGCCCGGCTGATAGTACCCTGTAAGGGCTCCTAATCCAGGAATACAGGATGAGCAGTGTTTGTACTCCATGTTAGGGGCGGCTGCACATGGCGTCTGTTCCTCATGCCAGAGGCGGCCATTTCTTTTGGAGCTAAGTCGGCCTGCCACTGAGTAGTGCTCCCAGTCTTAATGACAAAGGCAGACGCATTCTACTTCACCCAATCATGATGGTTGTCAAATCTCAAGCTTTACAAGCTTGATACCCTAATATGATTGAGTGGAGTTAAGAAAGAAGAAGAGAAGTACAATTTCATGTGTACTAAGGATAAGCCAAAAAGAAGACAATTTCACTATATTTGTCACATTATAAATGTGTCTTATCTCAAGTTTATATAACTCCTAGGTGGGAATTGAAACAATTTTCTTTTTTTTTAGAGAGAAAACTACTTTTCATGATAATAAATATTGAGGCTGCCTGGCCGGCATTCATATTTCTTGAAAATAAAGATACTTTGGCGAGTAAATCTTTTTATTACCTCAACCTTTCGACAACTTTTTTTTTGTCAAAACGTCGAGGTAATAAAAAAATTTACTGGCCGAAGTATCTTTATTTTCAAGAAATACTTTTATGAATTATGAAAATGTGAAAGCAATTTCCGATTGTCACTTATAAGAAGCTATTGGGAGGACCTGTGGCTCATCACTGACAAAACCCTTACAGTAGTGTCGCCAGTTTGTTACACCAGAATAGTATTAGACTCTGGAAGAGAAATAGGAATATATGTATGAAACATTGCAGGAGAATAAACACAAGGTAATAAGACCAAATCCAAATAAATAGTGTGTGACATTTTGGTAACAGCGTTGTTACCATCTTCAGACAAAAGTACTGAATGAGAAATTTTACCACAGCATGTTTTAAATAGTTACTGTTATCAAAGTGTGTAAAATTTCTCATTCGGTACTTTTGTCAGAAGATGGTAACATTGCTGTTACCGAAACATCACACACTATTTATTTATTTGGATTTGATCTTTATTACCTTGTGTTTATAATCTACTAGAAGAATGACCCGGCTTCGCCCAAGAAATCCCCCGAGTGAAGTATCCTTCATACTGAAAGAACATCAATAATAAATAGTAGAAGTGCCATAGAATAGCAATACAGATGAAACATAAACTACAGGAAAAAAAGTGTGTAATGGCAAAAATTGTATTATATTAGTGTTTAGGTATTTGATTTATTTTTTGCAATCCATTTAGTTGTTTCAAAATTAATATAGTTTAAATAAATGAGTTTTAAAAATTGTAAAAAAAAAAAAAAAATGCATCAGCCGGGAATCGAACCCGCGTGGCAGGCGAGCATTCTCGCCATTGAACTACCAATGCTTATAAGAAATGGCTATATTTGGGTATTTATTCCATTCACAAAAGCAAACGGGTGACAGAATTGATTAAGAATTGATTGATGACTCTGATACTTGTATATTTTAATAATCCAAATTGTGCCTTATCAATGCGGGAGGATGTTAATCGTGTAGCAAAGAGAAACACTACCCATTTAAAAAAAAACTGGATTAAAACAATGTATTTTGGCATCGCACAGTACAGAATGGTGATGATAAAGAATACGCTACAACACCAGTTATGGAAAATTCAGACAACATTCCAACAACATGGTTTCACACTTTGAACCTCATTAGTACAGCAGCAGCGACTTCCATTTCAAAACATTCTACGAGGGGAGTTATGAAATTGACCAAACAGGTGTTTAAACTGATGAAGTCGCTTTAGAAATGCAACATTTCATTTTGTACCGTCACTGAAAATTATATCCAGAATTTATGATAAAGCACAATTTGGATTATAGATTATAAACACAAGGTAATAAGACCAAATCCAAATAAATAGTGTGTGATGTTTCGGTAACAGCATTGTTACCATCTTCAGACAAAAGTACTTTCTACAAAAGCATTCAGTACTTTTGTCTGAAGATGGTGTCAACGCTGTTACCGAAACGTCACACACTATTTATTCATTTCATTTTGTACCGTCACTAAAAATTATATCCAGAATTTATTATTTTTTTTTAAAACAGTTTTAATAAGTTACTAGAGAGAGAGAGTTAGGATAATAAGAGATCACGGAGCAGTTTTTGACAAATATGCAAATATGTTATCAACTAGGTAGAGAAGAACCTCAATAAGAGTTGTTTTCACAAACTTGATACCAGTATTATTTAAGAAACTCCCTCTTTGCCGGTCCTAAGCCCAGATAAGAAAGAAGAAGGGGGAACAGTAACAAGCTTGCTAAAAAACCGGGGCTCAGCTGGCCATGCTGATAGTACCCTGTAAGGACTCCTAATCCAGGGATACAGGATGAGCAGTGTTTGTACTCCTTGTTAGGAGTGGCTGCACATGGCGTCTGTTCCTCATGTCAGAGGTGGACATTTCTTTTGGAGCTAAGTCAGTGGCCTGCCACTGAGTAGTGCTCCCAGTCTTAATGACAAAGGTAGACGCATTCTACTTCACCCAGTCATGATGATTGTCAAGTCTCAAGCTTGATACCCTAATATGATTGAGTAAAGATAAGAAAGAAGAAGACTATTTAAGAACATGCTGAGATATATTTTTCTCATTTATTCTTTTGTCTGATAATGGTAACAATGCTGTTACCGAAACATCACACACTATTAAATTATTTAGATTAGGTGTCTTATTTTTTTGTATGTAATATCCTGAAGTAAGTAAAGTACTGAAGAACTCTTCATTCAGTACTTTTGTCTGATGATGGTAACAATGCTGTTACCGAAATGTCACACACTATTTATTCATTTGGAATTTTTATCATATTACCTTTAATTTCTAATCTATAATCCAATAATTACAGTAAAACCCCGCTAAGACGAACCATGGATATAACGAACCTTCCCTTATAACGAACTCATCGAAAATCCCAATTCCATTCCATTAAAATTACCATCGTTATAACGAACTTTTCACTTTTCAAACTAGCGAACTATCGCTATAACGAACCCAATTTTGGTCCCAAAATATTAAATTCTATCAAAAATACCATGCTTATAACGAACTTTTAATTTTAATTCTAAAATTCCAAAATTATAATTTTCAAAACTAATTAAAATTTTGTGTGAGCTCTAGCTCACAGATCGCAATTCAAAACAAAGAATTTAGCGACATTGGATGTTTTTATTTACGTTCTATTTTTATACTGCGCTCTTTTATAAATTTTTCATGCCTTATTGAAAACTAAATTTCTTAACTCTACATTAGGAAAATTCCTTAAAACATTATTTAAATTATTAAAACCAGTTTTAAAAGATAATGGAAGTGCCAAAGAAAAAGTCGCTCGTACCAAGATATCACTTGAAAATATATTAACCATCATAAAAGCTATTGAGAGTGGTACATAGCAAGCAGAACTTCGGAAGAAAATGAAAATGAGCAAAAGTAGCATTTCTACGATATGGGGCAAAAAAGAAGATTATATAAAAAAATGCTACAAAGAGGAATCAATCCCAACTATTGCCGCTATCGTCAGTGTCATTATCCACTTTTAGAAGCCTTGTATACGTAGTTAGTACAAGCTAGGCTTCATTTTAAAAAATGAAGATTTCTTTGCTAGATATGAAACCAAATTTTTGAGGAATATGTTAAAGCAGAAAAAAATAACAGACTTCTTCAAGTAAGCCTTTGTATCCTATATTGTAATATAATATTTATTTATACCTTTTAAAATATTATTAATAAAGTTTTTATTTAATTTTTATATATAAGGTATACTTTTCTTGGATTTTTTTGACATATGGGGGACAGGTTGCATTTATACTAATTAAATTATCAGAGGAACTGATCAAAAAGGCAATATTTTCACATGATTTTGTTTTTATTTTAATATACAGCTTTAATATATAGAAATAGGTTAATTTTTAGGGGGAAAAAAACAGCCAATATTAAAAGGTAGCCTTTTTTTTTTTTTTTTGCGCATGCCCTTTAATTATATCCTCAAAAAAAATTTAAATACCCAAACCGTGGCTATAGTGAACCAAAAGTCCCGTCCCAACGGGGTTCACTATAGAGGGGTTTTACTGTATATCTAAATTACCAACTTTAATTAAACCTTTTTTTTTTAAATCCCGACCAAAAAAACCCTTTCAAATAAATTTCCTCTATAAATCATTCCAAAATTCTTGATTCATTTTGAAGGGGGGAAAGGGTGTTGAATTAAAAAAAAAAAAAACCAGTTGGAGGCTTCAGTTTAAAATGTAAGAGAGGGGCTGCTATGTAGAAAGGCAGTTGTTAATGATTATAGTAAAAAAATTTCTTTTAATTTTTTAATATGCAAGCTTTTGAGCAAATATACGTTCTCTTCAACGGGCTCTATGTACAATATCTCTAAATAATCTTTATATAAAATAATTGAAAAACTTTTTGTTATTGGCATGTAAGAGATTGTACATAAGAGTATCAGCCCGTTGAAGAGCAGTATATTTGCTCGAAAGCTTAAAAATTTTAAAATTAAAAGAAACTTTTTACCTGATTTTTCCTCTTTTAAATAATTTCTGGTTAACTATTTCTCACATAAAAAT